GACAGAGAGACAGAAAGCGAGAAATCACCCCCCAGGGGGGATGGCCACGCCGCAATCCCTTCTCCTCCATTCTCCTCTTGGGATCTTGGGCACGCACGCACACGTGCCCAGCGTGAGTTTTAAGGCACCGGGTCCAGGACGAGAGTTGACTACGTGGGAGTCCAGCGACATAGCCATTACGCTAACTGCTGGTTCCCAATTTCAAAATTTTTAAAAAGTATTACTTACTAATAATGTATCTTCAAATAGTTGGAAATTAAGTGTGAATGTGGTTGAAAGTTACTGATTTCATTGGCTTCTGGTTTGAAATGAACAAACTGAACATTTAACATCTAACTACTACATTGATATGTAAAGAAAGTGTGATATAACCTATCAACTAAAGCCCAAAGTCTTGGCATATCTCTTTTCATACGCTTTCCAAAAAATTCTCTCTGAATTCAGCTCTTTGCCTTCCCAAACAATGCATTACCTAGAGACGCTGGTATTTATTCCGTAATTCAAAAGTTATGCCTTCCAACTCCTCACGGTCCATGGTTGGCATTAAAGTTAATAAGATATTTATGCAGACTTTGAAAACATTTTAGAATCAGGCATTTTTCAGTAAAGTTATTTTTTCAATGAGGCTGTAGGAGAGGGAGGACTAGTGTAGTGTATTTCTTTTTCAGAAACTTGTGAAACTGTTTCCCTTATCATTTAGGATCATTTAGGGGTGTGGCATGCAGTAGCTGGCATGAGGTTGAAGAATTGGGGAAAGGAAAATCTGTAGGAGCGAGTAGCTCTCTAGGGTGAGCCTGTGATGCGGCAGGTAAGCGCTGCATGCCAGCTGACTGCAGTTCAGATGCCGGCCCTGGGGGCAACTTGAAAAGCACCCTGGGATGGGACCAGCAGATGGCGTAATGGCTATGTCTCTGGACTCCCATGCAGTTGACCGCGGTTCGAGTCCCGGACCTGGTGGCTTAAAACTCACGCTGGGCACGTGTGCATGAGTGCCCAAGATCCTGAGAGGAGAATGGAGGAGAAGGGATTGCGGCATGGCCATCCCTCCTGGGGGGTGATTTCTCGCTTTCTATCTCTCTGTCTTTCTGGTGAGTGCACGCACCCTATAGCAAAAACCTCTCTCTCAAAAAAAAAGAAAGAAAGAAAGAAAGAAAGCAAGCAAGCAAAGCACAGCACAGCACAGCACAGCACCTTGGGTGTCTGTATGTGTGAGCTCCAAATCCCCATGAGACAGACAGTTAGAAGAAGGCAGCTGTGTATGACCACACCCCATGGGAGGGGTGCTTTCTGTCTTCCCTCACCCCTCTGTGAATTAAAATAAAAAAGCATCCAGGTTATATTTTTATTTGATTTGGTAAGAGATGCCTGTGAGTCGATTTTAAAAATGAAATTTTTCCCATGAAACATGGCAAATTGGCCTTAAAAGCAGATAAATCAGTCCTTCAGTATTTTCTTAGGCCTTCAGACCTGATCAAAATAAGTTTTGAAAAAACTGGCATTAGACATTTTTATTAACATGTATTATTTGCTCTAATAATTTCCAACTTTCTGTCTCTTTTGTCCACGTGTTTGGTTTTTTTTTTTTCCCCTCTGTTATTCATTTTTTTTTTTCATTTTGATTATGTTAAACTGGGACATGTAGGTGGCAGTGGGGGAGATAGTGAAAGTGACCAATGGGGAGCACCTTCCAGCAGATCTCATCAGTCTGTCGTCAAGGTCAGAGCCCCTGAGCTGGTAGGATACGTGCATGTGGGTCCTCACCCTAAGCCAGAGCAGCTACACCCAACACGGGTTGAGTTCCCGTGTCTACCTTTAAAACACAAACCTGTATACTTCTTGGTGACAGACACTTTGCATGTTGTAAAGGCATTTTATGAATGACCGTATTGGCTGACTCCACTTCTGTCGTTGTCCATAGGAGTCTAAGGATCTTGTTAGCATAGGTCAATTTTAATTTCCTCTGTATCATTAATATATATTTAACAACATGCCTAAGTTCTAAGGCTTCATTTCTTCTATCTCCAAGACACTGTTTTAATTGCACAACTGCTTAAAAAGATTTCAGTGTTAAGCTTTAATGTCAAGCTTTTCATAAAACAGAGCTATTGCAAAGTGCTCAGAGTTTTACACTATTTGTTTCACTCTCAGATCTCAAATTTTCTAGACGTTCTATAGAACCTTCCAGCGCTTATCGGTTGGGCTTCTGAAGGGTTTATAGAGGACCCCCTGCACAAAGTTGGATGTTGCCCATGTTGTAACGCATGCTCTGGGATCCCTTTTCATCCCACTCATTTGAAGTACTAAGTGCACGTCCTGGGGTCAGTCCCACCCATCCACAGTGTCCGTGTCATGACCTGTACCTTGTTTCATTTTTCCACTTACTAATCCAAATGCTTGCATTGCCTCTCTGATTGTAGTCTGTGTGGGATGTCTTCATACGTTGTGGGAACCTCTGTGATCTGGCGTGATTCCTTATCTGAGACTTCTTGCTGCCTTTTCTCCACTTCTAAGTCCTGCTTCAATAACAGTTGTCTTCAGTGATGATTAAGAATGTTCTGAAATTGGATATGCAGTTTATCTGCCTCTCTTCACATAGAAGTCAGCCAGTTAAACCTCCTAGCCATTAAAGTGCTGGAAAAGTTGCTTTATGGGGGGGGAAAAAAGAGTTATTTGTACCCGAAGAGGAGACTCTTGAATAAAGATGTTGATCAGTAAAATGTTAATGCATTTTACTGCCAGAATATGGAATCCACACTGCTGTGGAGCATTTGGCTTGTCCTCATGTTTCTGTATTATCAAAAAAATGTGTTTTATGATTTCATAAACCACCGACGTTTCAAATGCATACATAAGCAAATCACAAATTCGGAGCAACTGCCAGAGCCAGTTTACTGGTGACAGTGGCTTAAATCTCAAATTTTGAATACTGATCGAGTGAAAATAGAACCACTCAAAGACTTCTCCGTTTGGGGAAACATAGCAGCCTTTATGAAAGAAAGCTCATAGAGTACATTGAAAAATTGGGAAACGTACTCGAAAACGAATCTGTAAAATAGTTGACCCATGGCCATGTGTTTGAGTCATTTTCAGAATCACAGGGCGCAGAATTAAACTAAAATGCCCATTTCTGAGACTTGGGATAGTCTAATTGCACACGTACAAATGGGAAGTTGATTAGAAAATTCCATGTGTCTGTCACTTGGGTGTGACGTACAGCTTGCTTTCTGTCTTTGCGTACACATGCCTGTCAGTAAGTTCATAGTGACTTACTTGAGTTTAGTAAATTAGGCTTTTTGTGTGACCAAGAGATTGTCACACAAATGACAATCTAATGAGATTGATTTTATCTCAGAGTGCTGCTTCTTAGCGTGGAGGATCAGGTGACACAGTGGGACTGTCAACTGCCACGTCTGTGGTTGCTGGCGTACTCCCTTAATAGAACACATACTAAAATGTATTTCCTGAGTAAGGAGAGTCAGCATGTGCAGAGGAAAGCTGTCAGACAGTCGGGGCGTGGTACCTGGGAGCAACTGGAAAACACAGACCCCTTACAGCAGCCACTGCACCAGATTTTATTAAGACACTCTGGTGGGGACCCAGGAAGTGCATCTGCAAGGTTCAGATCAGAGAACAACCTGGCCAGGTTCACTGATGTTTGAGTTTTTGCTGTCCCAAGAATCTCTCGGACAACTTAAGACATAGAAGAGCAGGGCCAGCAGGTGGCACAGTGGTTAAGGCACTAGACTCCCACATGGTGGACCGTGGTTTCAAACCAGAATGAGCGGTTTGAAAATCACGCTGGGCGCATGTGTGTGCGTGCCCAAACTCAAGAGGAGAATAGAGGAGAAGGGGTTGCAGCGTGGCCATCCCCCGTGAGGGGTGACTTCTCACTTTCCCTTTCTCTCTCTGTATCTCTTCAGCAAGCACACACACTCTAAGGCAAAACCTTTGCGAGAGAGAGAGACAGAGAAAAGAAAAGGAAAGGAAAGGAAAGGAAGGAAAAGAAAGGAAAGAAAAAGAAGAGAAAAGAAAAGAAAAAAGAGAGAGAGGGAAGGAAGGAAGGAAGGAAGGAAGGAAGGAAGGAAGGAAGGAAGGAAGGAAAAGAAATAGGGTAGGAACAGAAAATACAGGGGGGAAAGTGTATAGCTACTTTCCCTGTAAAAATCTGTTTATATAGTGTTTAAAAGTAGTCTTAAATCATTGATATGGTTTTTATGATCCTATTATTATATCTAATAGGGTAGTCAATGCATGTTTGTAGAAATAGCAATCTGGAATTTTCTAATCAACTCGTTTTCTTAACCAATTTCCATATGAGCCCCAAGCATGAACTCTCAGTATCTCTGAGCTGAAGATCGATGCGAATGCGAAGCTGCTTTACATTTCAGATACAGTCTGTGTTGTGTCTAGATGGGTTTAAATATCACGTGACCCATCTATTCATTCACATTGTCTCGAAGGCCATTACGGGTTGTTGCCAGGAAATTGCGTTGGGTCCTTCTGGCTGAGAAGCTTATTCGTGAGTGGCCATGCATGGGTTTTTGCTTCCAGCATCTTGCTGTTAGAATGAAAATCGTCAGAAAGCCGGGGGGACTGTCGCTCTGTCTAGAATGAAAAGCTTCAGTGAGTCTGAGTCGTTAAATTTAAGTCAGTGTGAGGCCTTCCTCCTGCCTCTAACTCATGCTTCTCGATTCTCAACAACAGCGAGCCCCAGGCCATGTGCTACATTGAAACGTCCAACTTAGATGGAGAAACCAACTTGAAAATTAGACAGGTAAGATCCGACGCAGGTTTGTATTAGAATTGCTGTTTTATTACAGGGGACTAGCGTGTCTTTGTATTTTTGCCTTGAGTCCAAGTTTTCCTGTCTAGTTGCAAATATTTTCTCATGGAACCACTGTGGGGCTGCTTTGTCAACTGGTATGGTTAAGTATTAGGTAAGGCTTCACTTTCATGCCTGATTAAATATAGTCTATCATGAAAGTCGTGATGCCTTTTTGCAAAAAAAATTCATGTCATGACTTTTCCCATGACCTAGTAGATAATTCCGTAGTATTTTACGTAACAGCCAGCACCTGGGCAGTCATGACCGTAGTCTGAGTGATTTGACGTAGGTTAACTTACTTAGTATAACTTGTTGCTTGCCCGAATTGCTGGTTAGCTTTGCTGTGTTAAAAAGTAATCCCATTCTAAATGTTTGGCTGTTGGTAAAGTCGCAATCATGCTGGGAGTAGCTTTGTTTTCTGTATTTACTTTCCATACTGCCTTTAGCAGAAAAGAGGTGTAAAGTTTTTCTTTCTTAAGGTTTAAAAGGAGACTCTTAAAATGGATGTCCTTGGGTTTTGGGGTAAATCCTGAGGCCAGCACGTGGGAGGATGTGGTAGAACAAGGTCATCACAAGGCACCTGAGCTCAGGCTGCTGCAAGAAGGGACTGTCTCCAGTGCCAACCACTTCTTACTCGCCAAAAGGAAGAACTACGTTAGAGTTTTTGTTCTCAGGGGACTTACAAAACCAAACCAAACTGAAACTGCCTTATTTGAACATAAATTGTACCCCACTTTTTATTACATTTTATTATTTTTTTTATTATCTTTTTAATTGGCAGAGGACATATGTGTTTTCTAGAGGTAGAGAGAGGAAGGAAGAATGCACCCCTCCATGGAGTTGAGTGTGCTTTTCTTCCTCAGTCCCTTTTCTTCTCTTCCCTATCTTGCTGGGATTTGGGGCATGCATGCATACGTACCTGGCACTTTTTTTTCAAGCCACCAGGCCTGGTATGCAAACCACAGTGGTCCATGTGGAATCCGGCTCCCTTAACCACTAGGCTACAGGGTCAGCCCTCATCCCCCTCTTTAGTTTCAGCAGACACCCTGTCTTGTAGAGTGCTTGATAATTGAACATTTTCAAATGCAAATGGCTCTACGGAAACTTCAAAATATCTCCACAAACTAGTTTATTGTCTTCTAAATATATTTTAGAACTTCCATGAAAGCTGCCCTTATGCTATGCTGAAAACCACCTGTGCTCAAGTCAGGGAAGAAGGGATCCCAGATTGATGAGCTGATGGAATATTGTAGAAGGGGGCGAATTGCGTATAAAGCAGAGGGATCCTTTAGCTCCTGCGGTCTGGATGAATTCAGAATTCCTCCTCTTTCGCCAGACAGCTTACTCCTGGCTTATTTAAAAATTTCTACACAGGGCTTACCAGCAACTTCAGATATCAAAGATATTGACAGCTTGATAAGACTTTCGGGCAGAATCGAGTGTGAAAGTCCGAACAGACATCTCTACGATTTTGTGGGCAACATAAGACTTGATGGACATGGGTAGGTAAAACACTTGATTAAAACGCAGAAGTCATTGTTGTTTATTGCTGAGTGTCTTCCAAGTCTGCATGCATAATACCTTCTTCTGTTCTATGTGTGAATACTTACAACTTCTAAAAACAGCATTGCTGTATTCTAACCTAAATCCTACTGTGAAAATGCTGGATCTTAATCCCACACGTGTGGTATAGCTAAAGACTTCCCCAAGTTTCCTGTCGTTCTGGCAGTTGGATGTTTTCAGGGGTGTTCCAGGCTTTCAGCACTTTGTTTAATGGGCAGATAACCTGGGGCTTATTGTTTTGGCCAAAATGCTTTTGTTACCATCTGAACTATCCAGTCCTCATTCCTGGGACGGTTCCTGTTATCTTCAGATGTCTCAGGGAGTTCAGAGTCAACCTCTGAGAGGTTCGTTTTACTGGATAACTTCTTGTCCCCTTTGACTAGGTCTCTGAGCTCTTTTCTAGGCCGTGTTGTCATAGTTAGCCATCTTTCGTTGTTAGTGTTTCCTGCCCTCTCTCCTCCCTTCTTTTCTGCTGCTTTCCTTATTTATTCAGCCATCACTTATTAAGTGCCTCGTGGACTAGGCCAGTTATAGATGTTAAAAAGACAACAGTGAACAAAGCAGATAAATATTCCTGCCCTTTCATCATCATCCTTTCAGGCTGCTGTAATACAACACCGTAGACAATCTAACTTGTAAATACCCTGAGTTTACTGCTTACAGTTCTGGAGACTGGGAAGTCCAAACTCAAGGCCAGTAGATTCAGTGTCAGAACCATTGTCCCCATACATGGTGCCTGCTAGGTGTCCTCACATGGTCAAGGTCTTCACAACCTAATCACCCAAAAAGGCTCTAACCAAACACCACCACATTGGGAATTAGATTCTAGTATATGGATTTTTTTGGGGGGTGGGATACAAACAAATAAGTACCTGCTTTGGAAAATACTAGCACAGTAGAAAGAAATCAGGAGTCCTTGGGAAGTGATGATTTTAGTTCAAGTGTCATCGTTGGCCTCATTGAGGAGATGATGACATTTGAGTCACAGTGAGGAGGAGATGAGAAAGTGAGCCATTTAGGAAGAGGTTCTACACAGAAGGAATAACCAGTGCAAACTATGAGTGTCTCATGATATGGTCTGAAAGTGGGAAAGTGCCTGGAGGAATCGGGGGATGTCCAGAGAGGCCAGCATGGTTGGAGTGCTGTGATGACCAAAGTTGTCAAGAGAAGAAGGTCAGGGAGGTCACGTGGGCCAGATCACATAAGGCTTCCCAAGCTGTTGTCAGGGTGTGACTCTGATGGGATGGGGGTCCAGTGGAGGGTTGTGAGGGGGAAATCAATAGTTCAGTTTTGGACTTAATAAGTTAGTGATATAAGCAGAGATGGCCAGGATGTGGCTGGATGCATAGCTGAAGTTGGGGATAGAACTGTGCTTCATGATATAAATTTGGGAATGGGGGCTTAGCAGGTGGCGCAGTGGTTAAGGCGCTAGACATTCCCATGTGGCCAACCACGGTTCAGTTTCAGAACTGGTGGCTTGCTTTCTCACTTTCCCTCTCTCTCTCTCATTTACTCTCTCTCCCTATATCTCCTTCTGGTCAAATTAAAAAATGAATGGATTAAATAAATTTAAAAAAAAAAAACATTGTGAAAATAAATTTGGGAATAGTCAGCATCGCCATTGAAACCTACGAGGCTTGAGGAACCGTGAGCATAAATGATATATGTAGGAAAATGAAGAAACCCTAGGATGGTCCCAAGGCTCTCTGACACTAATATGTCTGAGAAAAAGAAAGAGACTAGCAGAGGAGACTGAGGCCAAGTTCATCGAGTGAAACTGAGAAGGAAAAGGGACGGGGCCGAGGCGGGCAGGGAGTGACTGTCTTGGGTTAGATGTCGCAGGTGGTCGGGGACAGTAAGGCTGAGGATGGACAGTTGGATTTAGCGAGTGGAAATCACTGAACTTGACTAGAACAGAGGGAGCCTGTTGGAAATGAGTTTGAGATAGTGGAAGTAGAGGAGTTGAAAATAGCAAGTCTAGACCTCTTTTTCCAAGAGTTTCATTGCAGAGAAGAGCAAAGAAATGAGGCCAAGTCTGGCAGGAAGGGTGGGGTCTTCCCTGCTCCCCTCATCCCTTCTCCCCTCTATGCCTTTCCTTTCTTGCCTCCACAACTGGGCAGCACCCTGATCTTCAGCACCCTGCACTTGCAGCAGCCAGCCAGATGTCGGCTGGAGGCACCGGCTCAGGCCCCCCAGCCAGAGAGAACATTGTCCATGCTCTGGATATGTTGTGATTGCACCAGTCAAGTATGCAACTCCAAAAAAGCATTTGAAGTGTACCTTGACCGGTCATCTTCATTCAGAGCCACCAAAGGCTTTCCTATAATTTTTGAAGTAATTATATGTGCTAAAATTTGCAGAGTGATCTTTCCATGAGCATATGGTTATAGACTAATGATAGATTTGGCCATTTCCATGAGCAGGGTTTCTGTCATCTGATATCCCTCACTGGCCAGCTTCCACTTCTTATCAGTTCCTCATCAAACCGATGCCAAGCAAATCCACACTGTGAAGGGCAACCTTTGTATGCGGGTGCCAAGGTTCAGGGGACAGGTAAAACTTAAGTGATATGCTTTATTTTACATGAAAGATGTAAACAGATTGTCAAGACCTGTGTGTTTAGGGCACATTTGACTTTTATAATGATTGCCCAGAGTCCTCTGAGACCCTGTGGAGTGATGTTTTTTGGTTTCTTTGTTCTTTTTTTTACTTTGGATAGGTTTGTTTTTTTGTTTGTTTGTTTGTTTGTTTGTTTCGAGAAATCACCGTATGTGCGCTTTACAGAAAGACAGTGAGACAGAGAGACAGAAAGCGAGAAATCACACCCCTCCCCCCCAGGGGGGATGGCCACACTGCAATCCCTTCTCCTCCAGTCTCCTCTCAGGATCTTGGGCATGCACGCACATGCACCCAGCATGAGTTTAAGCCACCGGGTCGGGGACTCGAACCACGGTCAATTACATGGGAGTTCAGCAACATAGCCATTACACCAACTGCTAGTCGCAATATTTTGATTTCTTTAAGGACGAGGATCATGGTCTAATGCTAGAAGCTTTGGCATTCCAACTGGGATGAAAACTAGTAATAACTAACTCTTCTTGCATTTTTGTAATCAAGAAGTAGTATGTTTTACTTCAAAAGCAAAGAGTCCACACCTAATTCCTTCCTATCCATCCACACCACTCTTACTGAGGCAACAGATGCTGTGTTCTGATTGGCTACATGAGGAACAGTGGCATGGAGGGCCCCCAGAGCAGAGTCCAGCCATTTCTCAGGAATGTTTTGGAAACCGGTGTTAGTCCCAAGGCCTCTCCCAATTTTACTTTTTATTTCTTTTTTTCTTTTTTTTTTTTTTTTTTTTTTTTGATTTTTTTTTT